AATGTTTTTTTTCTCCTTCCATTCCATCTTTCAAATCAACCCGTGCCGATGGGGAAAAAGGTGCATCGCGACCATACTGGCCATTCCATTCTTGTCTTCTCGCCCCATTCCTCTTCTGGAAACCAGGAAAAGCTCCAAACATATTGTTTTCATTTCCATTTTCATCATACTCATCTATGTCGTCTTCTTCGTCCTCTTCCCCCAGTTGATTCACAGAATTTTCCTCTCTGCCTGACGCGTGCATCATGGACCACTGTGGGGCCAACATTTCAAGCCACTTACGCAGTGTCGCCGGGTTGTTCATTGGCAAACCTTCCAGATGGATCGTGCCAGTCCATATATTGAGCGGCACTGTCGCCTCCCCACTGAGTTGTAGTCCACATACTCCCTCGAGCTTCACCGTATATGTATCCTCGCCATTCTTCCCTCCATTCGGCAAGTCATTGGCAAGAAGGGACTCAATTATGGCCTCGTAATCTAGCGTACTCGTCGTTGCGGTCCCTTCCTTTTCCTCCTTCTCCTTTTTCTCCTTACTAGGTTCCATTGAGGTAAACGGGGCCAGACCTTGCACTCTCTTCGCAGTGTACTCACCACTGTTTGAAAGGGTGGCATCAATCTTTATGTTCCATGTTTTCTCACGAGGGTCGCGGTGAAGTCGGCGTCGCTTTTTGTGCCGCCTCTTTCCCGTCGCTGCAGTCATGGTGTCTTCCTCTCGCAGTTGCTGCAGTACCGCTGACCAAAATTGAGAGACCAAAGGAAGTGGGGCTGTTGGCAACACCGCACGAAGACTTACTTCGGCGATGCATAATGACCGCCGTGTAGCATCCGGATGAATATGAAATGAACCTGTCAACATGGGGTCGTCCAATTCATCCTTCGGCACCACAGCAGCTGTGAGGGCGGGAGCAAAAATACGTATCGTCGGCCGCATCGCAGAGATGCACTCCAAAAAGCGCTCCCGCTCCCGCAAATCCTCAAAATATTCGTTATAGACAATACGATCATTGCGATAAAACAAAATGTTAATTCCGTATAAAGGCCGTGAGGACACATCCTCACCTCTATCCTTTTTTATTGCCTTATCTGTTACATATTCCTCAAGACTGATGCCATCTAAAAGGAAGTCTGAACGTGCCACATGCAACAACTCGTAACTTTTGTACACGATTGAGCGGATGTAGCCACAACGACGCAAGTGTGGGGGCTCCTCTGCAGGGGCACTTGTGGCACATTCAATTGTGCCATTGAAGTGATCAATAAGCCACACATGCGAGTTGTACCTCTCCGCGTGAATGCGAGTGACGTCTAGAAGTTTGGCATGACGGAACGGCGACCTATAATTAATGGGAATTTCTTCCTGAAAGAGTTGTGCACCGTCGTTGGCCAAATTTGCCGATTTTCCCATCGTCCCTGATTGCCATGGCGGGAAATGATTTTCCCTACTGTCTCTGAGAGGAGGTGATGACTCCCTCTTCCGTCCGCTGCGGCGTTGCATGGGTACTGCGGAGGCGTCCTCGCGTCTCCAACGCACGTGTGTGACAAATGACGTTCTTAATTGCGTCGCAAATGGAACGTTCGACAACGGCAGCACCACAGACGGCATCGCAAGAGCGCCAACGACAAGGCCATGGGGTAAGGCATGTTGTGGGTCACTACCTGCGGTGCCACCACCACCAGAAGGAGACGCGGCTTCGCCTGGAGAAGCAGAAGGCGGAAAAGTAAAATATGATGGTGATGATTGCAACGGCAACTGGGAGACTCGATTATTATTCTCGAAGAGAAACCGCACCGCACGCCGCATACCCAAGTCATGCTCTGCGACTTCATTCAAATGACAATGACGTATAAAATGCCTCGAGAACCCTTGCACGGCCTCAAACGGCTTTTCTTCCTTCCTGCGTTGTCGTTGCATCGCGTCATTGCTATCAACGGTAGAGAAACCGAGCATTTCTTCCTCAATCATAGTTTTGACTGCTGCTGATGATGATAATGAGAACGTTGCGTCTGTTACATGCATATAGGTGTGATACAATGCCATGTCTGCAGTGACACGAAGGACATTTTTCAGTTCCAACAGGGTTAGGGGTATGGGTCCGCCAATGACATAAGGACGATTAACATGCGGCGAGAATACACCCCGCTTCTCTTCATGTATAAGTGAGCGTTGAAGATCGCTGAACGCCGCAATGGCAGCCTCTCGAATATGGTCAGAACCAAAATGACGTTTTAGACGAGCGGAAAGAACAGGCATGGACGCAATGTTAAACCACGTCTTCCATCGCTCCCATAGCCCTTTCGTATTAAATCCAAGTAATAAGTGATTTTCACGCGTGTCAAAGAGATAATTCTTCTCAGGACCTCGCTGCACAGAAGGGATGATCTCGATAAAATACAGAAGCTCACCACTCCTGCTTGTGTCATCATCATCATCATCACCGTCACTAGTGGCGATATTATTATTATTATTATTATGGGTGGCATACGCGGCTCCCGCCCTACGGGGAGAAGAAAAAAAGTTTCTGGCTTTACCCTGTACGCCTTCGCCTGTCACCGCCTTCGTGTTGATATTTATTTTTCCGATAGCTGCACGCATATTTGTCATAAACTTCCCAAGAATGCCATGCGAATTTTGTTTCCCAACAGCCTCCGCTGCTATCAATAATTCATTTGTGCCAACATGAGAACCCGTGGAACTTCGCTTCGCATCCAACAACGCCTTATTACTTTTTTCCGCAACACTTCCAGTATACACGGAATCATTTGCCAACTCTCGTCTTTCTTCCAATACAGACTTTGAAATACCCACAATGGTCGCCCCCAGCAGGTAACACCCACCCTTCGCCTTGTCATCTGGATGGGGTTCTTTCCCCTCCGCATCGTAGTAATACAAAAAGTGTCCATGAATCGCGATGGTGGTGGGAACAAATACCGCCATGTCTTTCCCAAAAAACACACCCCCGTTGACTCTTTTAAGTCTATGCACATGGGCAAAACCACACAATGTGTGAATCGTCTGAAATGGTACGGCGATGGTGAAATCCCAGCGGTCCTGTGCAGAAGAGGTTTTGGATGCGGCGTCAGTGGCCTCTGTGTTCACCGTCTTTACTGGTTTTTTATCAGTTGTCATGCAAAAGGGCGGGCCATTATCATTCAGGAGATTTTTGTGTTCATACTTGTGCGATGGCACCGTAGGGCCATCCTGCTTCCAAAGACGTGACCTTTCCAACTCCACCAAAAAGTTCAAAAGCTCCAGAACTAGTTGTCTTTTGTAACACAACTGAACTTCTTCAACAGGCATCCTCGCACACTGTGCATCCCTGTGGCGGGTAATAATTCGTCGAAGGACCCGCTCCTCCGTGGGGGTTTCTGGTTGTGACAACACATACGGTAAAGAAGAAGGATCCCATAATAATGATGATGATGCATTTAAAGAACCGCCGGGCTCCAGTGGCTTATTGTTCTTTTCCTGACGGCTTTGACTGTCACGGATGCTGTCAGGCCAGCCAAGGAGTGCAGCTAAAAGAGACGTCATGGAGGCAGAGGGTTGTAGCAGACGTGAGTAGCATCCATAGCCTTCCCAGAGACGCTGAACCGTCTCGATATTATCCGGGTAAATATAAGGCGTCACGGCACTATGAGTAGAAGCTCCTGTTTTTCGCCGTTTTTCTTCACGATGCTTCTGGGGTTTCTTTGATCGAGCTCCCGTACGAACCGGCGGCTTCGGATTAAGCTGCTCATCCAAGTAACGTTCAATTGCGTCCAGCTCACGGCGAAGTGCCTCCACGGACGGTTTGGACTTCAATGGCCAACGATGCCTGCCGTCCGACTCATTGCCAACACCTCCATCGAGTTCCAATTCCGACGCCCCCGTCATGTGCATGCACACAGGGTCGACGGAGGCGTTCATCGGAGACGAAGAGAAATGCGTGAATGCTTCCACCTCCTCAATCTCCTCCCAGGAACGAGCGTACAGCGTTGTCATGAGAAGTTCTCCATCCTCATCTTCCTCGTGATAATCTTCCCTGTGATCATGGCTCAAGGGGTGCGTGGAGGTGACGATTTCCCCTGGCCCCGTCTTGCTCAATGCTCCATGCCGCGAGACGCACTCCAGCAGAAGATTCAACTGGTTTGGAAGTGAACTCATCAAACGGGTGTTAGCGATATTACGGATTGATGCAACAGGCATCCAATGCGGTAGAAACAACACTTTAGCCGTCCGTGCCAGCTCCTTTTTCGTGCCTTTTTCCTCTTCTTCTTCTTCTTTGGTTTGACCCCAAACCAGATGTCGCCACCCCACCCCACACTTCTGCAGAGCCCCGTGATACTCGGCTAACACATCGCGTTCTACTGCCGTACAGCGACGACGTTGTAGTCGGTCGCTATTCCCGCTCAGCGAACTATTGGTGATAATTTTCCCCCACTTCAGTTGAGTTACATCAAAGATGAGTCGCAGCTTCTGTTGGTGCCACCTAAATATTTCAAGGCGGCGACGAGACTCCCACAGCAGCACCAGGGCTCTTGAAAACTTCTCCGTTTCAGCGGCCACCTTCCATGAGGAAGGCAACGACGACGCGGGAAACGACATCGTGTCATCCCGTACTGAAAGAATAAAGACATACGGACCAACTGCAACACGTGCCCCAAGTGAGAGGGGCACCCAGAATGAGGTTTTTATGCTTGCGCTTGCTAAGGGCAGCGTCTCCTCCGCTGACCTCCATGAAACAGGAAGACCATTGACATAGACAAGAGGCATGACATCTGTCGTAATTCGATGGCCTTGCCAAACAGACGCAGCAAGAAGGAACCGACCACCCACAGCTTGAATACGCACCTCCACCACAGCATTGTGTAATGTCCCTTCACTTCCTCGAATAATATCCGTCGGCAATGGCAGCTGCAGTCCTCCCTCAGGTGACATCGGCGGCAGTATTGTGCCTGACGCAAAACGCATACAAAACGATAGTCGAAAGGGAGTCCCATCTCCCAAATCACTCTCTTTGATATCAAAAAAGAGAGGAAGTAAAGTATTGGAGCTGTCGGAGCTACGAAGGGATTCAAGTGCGGCTTCCTGTTTTGCCGCAAGCGTTGCCTGACGGTGGCCTTTGACGGTGCCCGCGGAAGGGGGAGGAGGAAGAAGTAAAAGAAAATAAACAGGATGCCGTCGTAGCCCTGCGGCCACGCAATCAGCATGACGGTCATCACATACTTCCCGCCTCACGTCTGATAACGTAAAGAGATGCCAAAATTTCTTTTTTGGTTTTGCCCATGTTCGTACAAGTGCCTCCCGTGAAGCACGATCCGCATGATGCCATGAAAAAACCAGTTGCCGCTCAAATGCATGACGCTCCGCCAATGTTGCCGTGAGTTGTTGGATAGATGACGTAAGAACATCTAGTCGTCTTCTTTTCGCTTCTGCTGTGGTTACAAAATGCATGTTCCCTGTTCCTTTTTTTGAGGCGGATATCATCATTAACTCTTTCTCGATGCCATTTGCGGCCCGCTGCATCATTTCCACAGGATCGATCGTGCAAGGGACAAAAAACCACTCCGGATGACGACACAACAATTTGCATGCCACTGCCGTTTTCAACGTGTTCATGGTGTCGGTGGCATGCATTAGAGAGGCCCGAATGGTTGGAATCAAAAAAAGTTTTGCATGGCCCCATCGCACATTCTGCAAAAGGAGCGACAATGTATTCGGTGCATCCAAGTCAGAGAGGGATGTTACCGCTTCCGGCACCTGTAGAATAGACCGAAACGCACTCCCGTCTGCGATGGGAGGTGTCCATTGGAGTTCAATGAAAAGCCCTTCCGCGTGGTACGCCATAGACGCATCCCTATCCCCCGTCATGATGTAATTCCGCACAATGTTTCTCTCCTCCTCTTCATATTTCTCAAATCGTGTCCGCACAAGCAATGCAACGTGCAGGGGGGCATGTACGCCCAAGACATGAAGCTTCTCACGCAATAATGTAAGGTGTTCTAAACCACGTTGCTGGTACAAAACCATCGCATCCTCCGCTTGCACATCTATCCACACGGCTCCTTCCACAAGAAGTGAAGAAAAGTTGCAACATTTTTCTGTAACGTGAGTGGCGCCGGAAAAACAATGAGGATCATTTTGCCCCTCGCCCTTCCCCAAAAGGTTCCCATCTCCAGTGGTTCCGGCATTTGCTTCCGAACCGCAAAGACGTACCGTGCGCCGAAGTGCGGCAAAGGAGACGGGGTTCCACAGGTCATACATAAACACCGATGGGGCCTGACCGGACGGAGTCCCAGCGGTGGGTGGATCGTCTTGAAACGCCACGAATGCCACCCTCACGCCATCGTCGTCTTTTTTCTCCTTCATACTTTCCCTCTCGGCATCCACCACCACACTTTTTCCCCTTCGTTTCAGACGCTCTTGAATAATTTCAAGAAGTTTCCGCACGACGCGTGTGATCAATCCATGCGTGTGGATAGACAAGAAAGAGGGCGGCTGTGTGCCAATTGCTCTATCCCTTGACTGCGGGGTGCCGAATAGCGTGTATGACTTTCCACTTTGGGGAGGGCCAAAGGCAATCACCGTCACGTGATGTCCACCTACAAGCAACGGCACGATGGGTTGATTCACAACTTCCTCCTGATCCATCGGGAAACTCCATCTGCTGGGAGGCCGCACGGAGGCCCCAACGAAGGGGCGTTTGTCTGCTCTCACTGCTTGGCAGGAGCACAGTGAGTTGAGGAAGGCCAGCTGCTCCACTTCCCGCTGAAGCGTCGCCGCTTCCGCCTCCTCCTCCTCATCGCTTTCAGTCCCGTTTGCCCACGACAGCGCCCCACCTGTTATTGGGTGCACAGCGTTTTTAATCAGCCGGGTCGCAAAGGCACCATCGTTGCCGGAGACTGTGCTCATGTCTAGCAACCTGTCATAGCACCCTGTCGTCCATTGGCGCCCAGTTGCATCCGTCGACTCGGGTTGCTCCCATTCATGACGTAACCGTGTGAAACATTCCACAGAGTCTGGAAGAAAAACTGCATCAAACACATGTGGAAACTCCTGCATGCATAATGTCCCGTTGGGCATATATCGTGCCAACGTGATTGCAGCTCCTTCCGTTTGCTCAATATCACCACTGCTGCTGTCTTTGCTGCTGGGTGGCAATACTTGAATGGCCACCGGGTATGCCACCAACAGCGTATCGCTGCCTGATGCAGTTAAGGCAGGGTCGGGATCACGCACTCGTAACGTGAAGGTACAATATTCTTCCGCGGTAAGTGGGCGACATCGTACCGCAACATGTGGGAGAAGTCCTTTTCTCTCTCCCAATGGCTGGGAATCCTTCGTTAGCAAAGATAACCCCACATATTCCTCCGCATGACATGTTGCATGATTCATCTGCGCTCTTGCTCCAAAACGATATATCTTTTAATGGGCAGTCACAGCCCGGCCTAAACCAAACTCACCACCTCCCCAAACCAACACAATCAAAGAAACAACAACAACCGATACAAAATAATAAAACAAATTAATCAACGCCACAAGTGAAAAAAGAGAAAAAAAAGGGATGTAATTCGATAATAAATGAATTCTTCTGCGAATTATGAAGAAGACGATACGAGCTGTTGTACGGAGACGAGCAAATCTTTCCGTCCTCACGCTCCTTTTAGTTTTTGTTTTATTATTATTATTATTTAAACCCCCGACAACAACAAAAGAGAGAGAAAGAAAGAGAGAGAGACTGTGTGTGTGTGTGTGTGTGTGTGTACTTTTGATACTCTCCCATTCCTAAAGCTAAAATTTACACAAATAAATAAATAAAGAAAGAAAGAAAGAGAGTTATCCGTGGAGTTTGCATGGGATTTAAAGGCACAATTGTTTGGGTTATTTGACACAAGACACGTGTGTTTGTTATCACTCCAATTTATAATAATAATAATAATAATAATAAATGTACGTATGTATATGCCATTTGCATTTATTCTCCTCCCTCTTTCTTCACGCAATCACTTCGTTTTTCTATGTCCATACATGCACATATATATGTATAGATATATAGATATACGGGAGCAGATACGTGAATGGAGTAGGCAGAAAGGTGTAATAAAAAAGAGGAAAACAACAAACTATCAAAAACAACAACAACAACAACAAATCAAAAATCAAAAAATAAAATAAAATAGGAGAATAAAATAAGAAAATATCCATCATCATCACTACAATCATTATCCTCTTCCTCTTTTTTTTTTCTTTTTTTTTGTCTTTTCTTTTCGATCCACTCCCTCTTCTTCTTTAATTTCCTTCTCTATTCTTACTCGTCTATGAACACACACCTTCCCCACTCCTTCTGGTGCACATGCATTTCATTAAATGCGTGCATCGACAGAACTGGACCCTCCTCTAAACAATAAGTAATTCTCCGTACTCCTTCCTTCTCGTTTCTTGGCCGAGTGTTTTTTACCTCTTCTTCTTCTTCCGCTTCTTTTCACCACCTGCGGCAGCGGCGGAGCGAGAGGGAGAGGAGGGTGCAGTCTTACTACTGCGCTTCTTCAACTTTCCCCCCTTTCGTCTTGCCTGCGCAGCAGCGGCAGATTCGGCTGCTGCTGCCGTTGCTGCTGCTGCCGCCGCCGCCGCTGCGTTGCTGGCGTTGCCACCGGACTTCTTCCGCGCCACAGACAACGAGGGCGGCGAGTTCTTCAGTTTTTTCGCCTTCAGTTTTTGAGATTTAGACCGCTGCGAACGCGATCGTTGCCGAGTGCTGCCGCCATGATTGGAGGACTTTTTATTTCCCTTTGGCTGCACCGTCTGTCGTCCTAAATGATTTGCCTCTTCATCCTCGTCCTCCTCGTCCTCTTCGCCTTCACCCTCCTCGTCCTCGTCCTCGTCCTCCTCTTCTTCCTCTTTGCTGTCAACATCGACGTCCTCCTCATTGTTCAGTGAGACAAAGGCCCCGCTGCCCACGGCTCCTGAAGACGGGTTGCCAGAAAACGTTGTTCTCACCGTCACTTGATCCAATTTGCCATCAGCTCCATCCGTCGCAATTGTTGCTGGGGTAACAATGTCATGCAGCCATGCCAAGGCGTCCTCTTGAGCGGGCCCCGGTGTCGTAGGCGGTGAAGACGACGACGAATTCGTCTTTCGTGTGGCAAGAAGACCCGCCGCGACAGGTATGTTATTATTGATGGCGTCCTCTGTAGCCATGTCCGTAAGCAGTGCTGCATGCGTTGTGGCATTTGTGACCCTTTCCGCAGCAGAAATTGCCGCGGGTCCGTAAAGGAGTCGTTGAGTAGCGCCT